CAGCAGGGGCTCTTACCTGGACAGTGCCATCACTAAAGAGCATGAGCAAGGCCTGATCTGTCTTGACCCACTGCAGCAGTAAGGGTGGAGCAGGCACCTCCACCTCTTCCACACTAGGCAGATCGCCTCCCTGGGAGCAGGGGCAGGACAGGTCATTGGTGTGGTACAGTTAGGCCCTCCCTGTCCCATTGATGTCTCCCTTCCCTACAAGGTCAGCCTCTAGCTTTGAGCTCCCTCACCACCACCAAAAGGGAATATGAAGTAATCAGGGTATGTTAGTCCTCAACATGCCCCACCCCAGCCCTCATACCTTCATGAGGTGCTGCTCCATGTAGGAGGTGAAATACCGTAGGATGCTCAGTTGAGGCTGCAGAGCCCGGGGTACAGCACCCACAGAGAAGGAGAAGTGCTTTGTGCTAGTAGGGTTGTAGTGTACAGTCCTGGAAGCAGGGAGACAGAAGTCAGAGGGAGCCCTGCACCAAAGCCCCTCCCCTGGGAAACCTCAGGCCTGAGTCCAGGAGTACACCAATGTGCAGCCCTGCTGGGTACAATAGCCTGGTGCACCCACAGCAGCACTTACTTTCTGTTAGCTGACAGGGCCATGTGTGTGCCATCATTGAAGAGCACAGCTACACGGCGGCTGGACAGTTGATACCCAAAGCCAAACTTGTTGGAGTAGTCAACCCACTTGCTGACCCAGACCAGAGGCTCTGGCTGTGCCAAAGGAGCTGGGTTCTGTTCCGCTGTCATGGGAAAGGAGGGAGTGAGGACTTGCCCCTGGTCTCCAGGCCAAAGAACTCCCAATACCAGAACCCAGCCCTACTTGGGGCCATGGTGCCAGAACCCAGCCTTACCTGCAGGCATGAAGGCCACACAATTTCTCAGAGCACAGAAGGCTGACTCTACCACTGTGGCCACAGTCAAACCTTCTTCAAACCCTAAAAGAAACAGGACACTGAGATTTTGGCAATTTAGTTTCCCTGGATCCATGTCACATCCCTCTGCCAACTTCCTCCCTCTGGTCCCTGGTCCCTGGCCCTGGTAATCTCTACCACTTCATCCTCTATGGCTCCTCACCATCTCCACTGCTTGCCAGTGTCCCACGGGGTGAGCTGTCTTCAGCAGCTGTCTCTACTAGGCTGACAGGGGCTGGAACAGAAGCTGCTGGAGCCTGGAGGATTGGATAGAGGCAGGGAATGAGATAGGCCCAGAATCCAAATCCTTGAAAGTCTGTGTCCCAGCCCTGCTGTGGCCTAGCTCCCAGGGCAACCGGGGTCAGCTCCAGCTGGCTAATGAGACACAGCCAATTAGGCCACCACGAGGCTGGATGCTTCATCAGCCTTTTATCCCGGGCTTCCCTCAGCTGCTAGGTGGGAGTGAGTCAGGAGAATAATGTCCACGTGAACACCTCACCTCAGGCCTGACATCTGGATGGCCAATAGATGTGCGCATGAGGCCGCTCACCAAACGGGAGACCTCGCCTCGCTCCTCAGGATGGTTCTTATCTGGGGATGAAGGAAGATATAGCCCTCAGTGTCCTGTCTAGCCCCACTTCCCACAGGATGACAGGCCTTCCCAACTGCCTGGACAACACATGCTCTCCCCAGGAGTTCACAGGCATCACACTCTCATGCCCCCAAAATGAATGAAATAAACTGTTTGCTATTCCTGTTCCTCAACCCACTAATAATCCAGACTTACTCTTGTTCTTCTTCCTGCCAAACAGGCTCTTGGTCACTTTGGCAAACAGACTCCGTGCTGGGTTGGGGGGTGTCAGATCTGGGACTGTCATGCAGCTGCTGACAGGGAGCCGATCGGGGGTGTAGCCCTGGGAATGGGAGCCATGTCAACAGAGAGACTCCAAGGGTCCTGTCACCTGCCCGTTTATCCCTTGGGAACACGTAGACTGATCTTGGGTGTCTTGGGGAGCCACAGACCTTGGTAAAGAAGTCATGGCGCAGGATCTGCTCAATAGAGGGGCGGTCTCGGGGTGAGGCTCGAAGGATGGCAGCCAGAAGCTGCCGGGCAGGCAATGAGAGGCTGGCAGGCAGCGTGTAGTGAACCTGCTTGATACAGCGGTACGTTTCCTTAAGGTCAGCTGTCTCAAAGGGGGGGCTCCCACACAGCAGTGTGTACCTGTGTCAGGGAGAGGGGGATCAGGAGCAAAGTGGTGGAAATGCACCACCCATCCACCCACCACCTGTCTGGCACTCACATGACACAGCCCAGTGACCACACGTCTGCTTCAGGACCATGGCCCTGTCTCAGCAGCACTTCTGGAGCCACATAGTTGGGAGTGCCACAGATGGTCCTGAAAGAAGGTAGGGAGGAGAGGGGAAGGCTCAGATCCAGCCCAACAACCCCCATTCCTGCCCCTGCTGTGAGTCCAGACAAAGCAGCTGCCTGTCACCAAAGACCAGAGAGCTCCTTCTTGTCTTGGGACAATGGATGCTGGGGATGGCAGCTGAGTCCCCACCCACCCTCCTAGCCCAGCTGCTCAGCTGCTCTGAAGGACAGGGGGAGGCCCCTCCCCCCAAGTCAGGCCCCTCCCCCCAAGGTCAACACAGAGGGTTCATCACTAATCCCATCCCCCACTCTCCTCTGGCAAACTACCCATAAGGCTGTCACTTCCCATGATCTGTGCCACACACAAACACCAGCTGTCACACCCCCATAAACACTCATCTGCCACACATGCTATCTGTGTCATGTACACCCAGTCACAGTGACCAAAGCAGGGTCTTCTTACACATACACAAGATAATCATGTCCTGTCAATGTTTCACTATTCCCACACTCAGTCTGCCTCACATACATGTACACACTGCCTGACCTATGTTGTCAATTTCCCCATCCACACACAGGATCAGTCACACACTTCCAAGATTCTTACATCCCCGTGTCACAGGATCTTAGGATCACCTACCCTGTGTTATCACATACTCATGGAACCTCATTCTTTCCATCAGACTCAACAGCCCAGGCTGCTGCCTCCACCTTCAAACACACAAACAGCCCATTACCCCTTCCCTATTTATCACATGCACACATCAGGTGGTCACCTTGCTTCCCACATACATACTGTCTGTCACATCATCTGTGTCACACATAGACCATGGCCACCCCTCCCCTCAAACACTCACTTCTTCCTCTGCTCTGGAGGCTCTAACTGAGTTGCAAGCCCAAAATCCCCCACCTTCAGTTCCATGTTCTCAGTGATGAAAAAATTTCCTGGAAAGGGCCAGAGAAGTATGTCAGATTCCTCCCTCTTTCCTCCCCAACTCCACACACTGCTGACCCAGGAGTCTTACCCAGCTTCAGGTCCCGGTGCAAGATGCCCTGCTGGTGCAAGTACTTGAGGCCTGACAGGATCTGTCGCAGGTAGTAGCGTACCTCTGGCTCCAAGAGGGTGTGCCGGGCCTTCCAGATGTGGGCCAGGGACTGCAGAAAGCCATTACCTCAGCCCCTGCTCGCCCTCCCTCAGTCTCCCTCAATCTTCACTAGCTGAAACAGGGCCCCAAATTTGGGTCTGAATACCCCCTTTTCTCTTCCCACTCCTGGCCCTGCCTATCCCTTACCTTTCGACTGCAGAGCTCTAGGAAAATGTATATGTTGTCAGCATCCTCGAAGTGGTGTGAAAAACGAACGATATGGCGGTGCTGTAGATCTCGGTGCAATTCAATCTCGTTAAGAATCTGCGATGGGGACGTGAGGTCGTCATTCTTCTAGGGTTCCCACGCCACCGTCCCCTCTCTAACCCTCGCTCACTGGGCCTGGACCCACCTTTTCGCGTTGATGCGGCTTGGCGACGCGGTTCTGCGGGATAACTTTGACCGCGTAGACACTGCCAGTCTCCGTGTCAGTGGCCTCGTAGCAGCGGGCGAAGCCTCCCTAGGAGGAAGGGGCATCAGGCTGGGCGCTCCAGGGAAGGCCGAGTCCGGCCCGCAAACGTCCCCAAATCCGAGTGAAGAACACCCGCCCCCCTGGGCGGAGTTCCCCTCCACCCTCGTTAGCACAACCCCTAGACAGCCCCGGCCCACCTTGCCCAACAAGCGGCCTTTGAAGTAGGAACGGCCGCTGCACGGGTCGGTGATGAGGCGCCCAGGGTCCGGCCCCTGTGGCCCAGCCGGCACTTCCAGCTCGGATCTGGGAAAAGAACTCGAAGGCGGTCCTGGTCCGGCGGGGGGCGCGGGCGGGGCGGCCGCACGCGGGAAAGGGCGCGGGGACAGGAAGCCGGCGGCGGGCTCCATGTCGGCGGCGCGTCGCAGCGTGGGCCCGGCTTGTTCTTGATTCCGCCCGGCCCCGGCAGCGAGTGGCGCTGCCTGGTTTTCGCTACGCTGCGCTCGCGCCCAAAGGAGCCCGGCGTTTTTATCAATGAACGCCTGCCCCTCCCCGACATCTAGTCACCAAGAGCCCCGCCCCCTTCCTGGCGGCGAGTCACGGAGAAGCCACGCCCATTACAAGGCCTACGACACCTGAAAGCTCCTCCCCACCCGACGCCCTTCGAGGCCCCACCTCGGCTTGTAGACTTAAAGGCGCCGCCATGCTGCTAATCACGATGCATGTGCGGCTCGGCCGCAGGGGTCGGCCGTCCTTGTTCTCCCACCCGCGCCGCCCTGGTGACGGTGTGTCTCCCTAATGGCAGCCTCTTTCCCCATCCTTCCGAGCATGTGGTGAAGTCGGAGTGGGGTCAGGTATCTGGGGGCGTCTTCCCAGCAATTAGATGGACATCGTTCAAGCCAGGAATGGAAAGGCAGAGGTGACCCTCGCGTTCTCTTCGGCGCATCACTAATACTTCTGGCGCTTGTTCCAACGCCAGAACCCGCAGCTCAGTGCTGCCCCCTTTAGGGACTGAGGAATAACACAGGGAGCCTGGCTGGCCTGATTGGTAAAACTGTGGGTGGGTTTGGGGAATAGCCTTCTTCAAATCTTTTATCATGCTCCAAGCTACATCTTCCACTACCCACATTTTTTTGGGGGGGTGGAGGCATTGAGGATTGAACCTATGGCCTCAATTATACTAAGAATATGCCCTAAGCCGGGCGCCAATGGTCACGCCTATAATTCTAGCTACTCAGGAGGCAGGGATCAGGAAGGTGACGGTTCGAAGCCAGGCTGGGCAAAAAGTTCTTGGGCCCCTATCTCGAAAAACCCTTCACAAAAATAGAGCTGGTGTAGTGGCTCAAGGTGAAGGCCCTGAGTTCAAGCCCCAGTACCGCCAAAAAAAAAGAATATGCTCTACTCCTAGTCCTTTGAACTTAATATTACACCCTCTTATTCCTGCCTTTCTTACAGGATCCCTTTTTTTGTTACTTCTACATTTTTTTCTTTCAGAGATGAGATCTAGACGTGTGCATTCTTGGAGGGAGGTTTTTGGGACTGCGGGATCCTCTATTCCCTTCTCAAAGTATCCTTTGCTCTGGGTCAGCAGTCAGAAGGCCAGAAAGTAAAGAATGGGAACTGGATATTCTCAAGTGCCTAGGGATGGGCAATTGGACAGTTATCTTGGGGCCACCTAGAGCAGGAGACCCCTGCTCAATGCACTCCTCAGGGCCAGAGACAGAGGGGGAGGGGGTTAATCCCTCTGGAATTTTTTGTCCCAGGATTACAGGCCTCTTGGCCTTGTAGTCTTTCTGTTTTCACTCTTGGTCATTCAATCAAGTATAAACCATTCAGGCCTCGGAAATGTACCGAGAACACCTGCTAAGTGCTAGACTTAGAATGGTCAAGGTTACAGCCTTCATTTAGTTCACTTCATTTAGTTACTTAATTCTGTTTTATGGAAACAGACTATAGGCAAGTACATAAACAAAGTAATTGCATGCTGCAAAAAAGCGCTATGAAGGAAGTAAACAAAAGAGCAAACCAAGAGCCTACTTTAGAAAGAGTAGCCAGCAGTCAACAAATACCTAATTCCTGCCACTTATCTCCCAAATATCTCTGGTAAGTAACCACTTAACTCCATCTTCCCCTCATATTCAGATCCCAGTCACAGTTTCCTTCTTTTGGTGGAACTGGGTTAAACTCTGGGCTTTGCACTTGCAAGCCAGATGCTCTACCACTTGAGCCACAACTCCAGTCCATTTTGCTCTGGTTATTTTGGAGATGAGGTCTTGAGAAGTATTTTCCTCAAACCTCAATCCTCCCTATCTCAGCCTCCCAAGTAGCTAAGATTACAGCCATGAGCCACTGGCACTAGGCAGTGTTTCTTATTTGGATTATTGCTGCAGCACCTTGCTGGTCTCCCAGCCTTTGTCTCTATAAACTGTCAGATTCCACCTAATCCCTCATCAACCCTACAAGAAACTACTTCAAGTTTGTCTCTCATGGCCACATAAAGGAGACCCAAAACAGGCTGTAATGTGGAAAAATACTAGAGAGGAGATGGGCAAGAAGGCTTGAGTGCCATGTTTAGGAATTTGGTGTTTATCTTCACAGGACCTCAGAGGTCAGCAGTTTCCCAGGAGGAGACAGTAGTAAGTGGGGCTAGAAAGGACAAATGGCCAGGGCAATAGACCTGAGGCACTTAGCACTTCAAAAGACATAAACCAGGGCTGGTGGAGTGGCTTAAGCAGTAGAGTGCTTACCTAGCAAGCCTGGCAAGCATGAGGCCCTGAGTTCAGACCCCAGTACTGCCCCCCCCAAAAAAACCCAGAAAGTAAAAGACATACTCCACACTGCAATTGTTGTTATTATTACTGTAGTGATGTGGATTGTGCATGCTAGATAAGCACCTTACCACTGAGCTATATCCCCAGTCCAGTATTGCAATTTTATATTTGGAAAATGAATCAAAATGTCTCTATCAGTTTCCTAGAGCTGCCATAACAAAATACCATAGTTGGGTGACTTCAGTAACAGAAATTTATTTTCACAGTTCTAGAGGCTGAAAGTTGAAGAGCATAAGCAGGATTAATTTTTTCTTTTTTTTTTTTCTCTTTTTGTACATGAATACATAATTTTTTTGTTGTTGTTTTGATCTTTGAACCTCCACCCCATGGCTTCAAACTCTTAATCCTCCTGCCACTGCCTCTGGGTGCTGGGATCAACACACCCAGCTAAGACATTTCTTTTGAGGCCTCCCTCCTTGGCTTGCAGATGGTAGTCTCTGGTTTCACATGACCTTTTTCTCTGTTTACACCTTTGGTATCATCTTGTGAGTCCTAATCCTTTTCTCATAAGGACACTAGTCAAATTAGATTAAGGTGCATATCCTCAAAGCCTCACTTTAATTTAATTACTTGAATGCTCTATCCAAACACAGTCACATTCTGAGGTACCAGGGGGTTAGGACTGCAAAATATGATTGGGATGGAGGAAGCACAATTTAGCTAATACAGCCTCTTAAATTTTTTTCTTTTTTTTTTTGGTGCTGGGGATTGGACCCAGGGCCTTGCACATGCTAAGCAAGCACTTTACCTGCAGCCCTTAATTCTATCACAAAGTTTAATGAGCTCCAACACACTCTTTTTTTAGCTGAAGGGATAAGCAGACCTGCTTTCTGAGGTTCAGAGTGTTAATGGCGCTGGTTCAGTCTATGATCAGAAGACTTCCAAATTCTTTATCCCGTGTGGAAGAATCCATGGCAGGACATGTGGGTATAAAGGGAGTTTATTAAAAGTTAGGGAAGGAGGCTGGCAGAGTGGCTCAAGTGGTAGAGTGCCTGCCTAACAAGTGTGAGGCCCTGAGTTCAGGCCCAGTAACACCAAAAAAAAAGAAAGAAAAAAGCTACAAAGGGGAGGGAGAGTGCTTCTTTCTCTAGGTGCTTTTAAAACTCCCATTAAAAGGGAGGAACCAGGTGATTCCCATCCAGTAATCAATGACTGGGGCCAGGCAAGAGCGGTTCCTGGCCAGATAAAGGTGGTTCCTGAGCTAAAGCAAGGTCAATCTGAGATGTAATATTTTTCTATGAGTCCCGAAGTTTGCCTTAATTCTAGCCGGCCTCAAGAGGGCCTCTCTAGCCAGTGTAGAATCCTGTGTTTCCTGTAGCCCAGCTCACTAAGAGAACTTGTTTGAGTTTAGCCCAACCATATACTGAAGCACTTATACACCAACTCACAGGACCTCCTGGGAGGGCTTCCACAGCAGAACTTTGTAAGGTACAGTTCAAAAGACATCCAAAACTCCTACCTCTATTTCCTGCTTCTTCCCCAACCTTAAGACTCTCCATCAGCCAGGCGATGGTGGCTCTCACCTATAATTGGGAGGATCATGGTTCAAGGCCCTGTCTCCAAAATAACTACAGCAAAATGGACTCAAGGTGTGGCTCAAGAGATAGAAAATTTGCTTTGCAAGCACCAAGTCCTGAGTTCAAACTCCAGTCACAAAAAAAAAAAAAAAAAAGACTATCAACTTCAACTGAAAACTCACTGTGTATTGGAGCTTATCAAGGCTTCCCCCCACCAAAACAACTTTGACTACAAGGAATTTGATAGGTCCTAGGACCCGGCTCAGTCATGAAATCATTCACTCATTCTATCAACAAACCTTTTTCCTGAGTTGTACCCTGGGGTAAGCCACCCACGGCTAAACAACTGCATTGTACTGAAAGCAGTGGAAGGAGAAGAAGGGTGTGGGAGGTGGTCCATGGGAGCCCAGAGGTGAAATCTGACCCAGTTTGAAGAATCCAGATAGGTGGAGATTTCCAAACTGAGTCCTGAGGGCTGGGGAAGAGTTAGCCAGGAACAGAATAGACAAGGAGAAGCAAGAGGTGCAGAACAATGTGTTTCTTAGAGGCCCGAAGTGAAAGCTCCTAGTCCTTAAAGAACTGAAGATTCAGGACTGGTGGAGTGGCTCAAGAGGTAGAGCACCTGCCTAGGAAGTGTGAGGCCCTAGGTTCAAGCCACAGTACTGCAAAACAACAACAACCAAAAAAACCTGGAAGTTCAGGGTTAAGAGAAAGGGAGCTGGAACAGTCCAGGAGCCAGACACTAAAAGACTTTGCAAGGTGTGTGGAGAAAGGTCTTCTTGTCCTTTCCCCACTTTGCAAAGTTTCCAAGCTGCCCAGCTGTTGTGCCCAGGCCCCCCAGAGGCAACAGTTTTAAACTTGGTGAGCCCAGGAAGTAGGTTCTAGGATGGAGGCTCCTGTGAAGAGGAACCTGATCACACCCCAAGCCTAGTTCCCTGGAACCTCCTCTAGACAGCTGAGGAGCTGCAACCACTCATGCAGGTGGTGAGCCTGAGTTTAGGTTCCCTTCTCCCAGTTCTGGGATATAAGGCTGAGTTTAGGCTGCCTGACCCATGTAACAACCTCTCTAATTTCTGCCACAGAAGACCTTGGCCAGGGGCTACTGCTCAGGAATAAAATGAAATCCCTTCTGTGCTTTCTGCTGTCTTCCTATGCCTTCTTCCGCTGGCTGGGTAGCCTCAGACCCGGGTTGGAACTGAAAGCCCACTCCTGTCTGCCTGTCTTCATTTATTTTTTTTGCAGTGCTGGAGATGGAACCCAGGGCCTCATGAATGCTAGGTACATCGCCAGCCCACTATCCTTTTCAGAGCTCTACTGTCCTGTAGTCTCTCTCCTTGGAAAGTTAACAAGGTGCTTGATCCCTCCTCTGGCAGCCAGGATATCTTTCTAGATGCTGTAATTTTTTTCTCTGCTTTCAGGGATCAAACCAAAGGCACTGAGCTATACCCTCAGCCCATGGATGCTGTAATTTAAGGTCCTGCCTTTGCCTCCTCTCTGTGTATAACCTGCTCCTCATCCATGGATTTATGTACCTTTCAAGTTTCAGGCACCAGGCTAGGCATTTATTGTGTTGATTGTTTACAGTAACCTTGTGATGTGAATGTGATTATATCCCCATTGTACAGATAAGAAAACTGAAGCTCAAGACAGTGAAGCAAGCTTCCTAAGATCATACACAGCTCCCCAGGGACAGAGCCAAGATCTGAACCCAAGTCTGTCTGACTCTACTATTCATAATTGCCTGACTTTTCTGGGGTCATTGGGTCCCCGCCCTCTCCTATGTTCCTCTTAATAACATCCTTTCTCCCCGACCCCAAGACTCTTACAACCTGAGGTTGTGCCCTAGCTGGGGTTTTCTCTGAGCTTTCTGGGTTTCCATCCCCCAAAAGCCTGCTATGTTGCTGAGCACATGTTTTATACTCCTAGTCCCCTTGGCAACTCACAGTCAGAATCTGTCCACAATATCAGAGGGCAAGAGAGGTGGTAGTGCAGGTGCCTGTGGCTCACGCCTACAATCCTAGCTACTCAGGAGGCAGAGATCAGGAGGTCACAGTTTAAAGCCAGCCAGGCAAATAGTTTGCAAGACCCTATCTTGAAAAAAAAAAAGAGCTGGTGGAGTGGCTTGAGGTGTAGGCCCTGAGTTCAAACCCCAGTACTACAAAAAAAAAAAAAAAAAAAGCCACAAAGTATAGGACTCAAGAAGGGCTATTGGATTCAGCAGTAAAGTAACCTCAGGGGTCCTTGGTGGGAGCTACAGTCCAACCAGAGATAAAATATGTGCTAATAAGCTGATGCAGGAGGATTGTGAGTTCAAGACCAGCCTAGGCTACATAGTGAGACCCTATCTCAAAAAAGCAAAAGTTTTTTTTAAAAAAACAAACAGTTGGGTGCTGGTGGCTCACGCCTATAACCCTAGTTACTCAAGAGACAGAGATCGGGAGGATCTAGGTTTCAACCCAGCCCGGGCAAATAGTTTTGAGAGAACTTATCTTGAAAATACCCTTCACAAAAAAGGGCTGGTAGAAATGGCTCAAGATATAGAGCCTGAGTCCAAACCTCAGTACCTCCCCCTTCAAAAAAGTGCTGAGCTGGAGGCATGGTTCAAGCCTTTGAGCTCCTGCCTAGCAGGAGTAAAGCCCTAAGTTCAGGCTTCAGTACCACCAAAAAAAAAAAAAAAAAAAAAGTGCTGTTAGCTAAAGTACACTTCATGCTTACATTGTGCTATTGAGCCTTTTATGCAATTAATTTAATAATCACAACTACTTTGAGATTGGCATTATCTATTTCCCCATGGTGAAATTAAGCACAGGGAAGTTAAGTGGTTTGTCCAAGGTCTAAGCTATAGGTCCAATTCACCTATGAGAAGGGGAGGGCAATAGTGGGTGGGACCAGCAGAGAGGGAGAAACATTACAGGAGGAGGATAAACAGGGTGGGGCAGGTGATTTATGAGCTGAATGGTTCCCTCTCCTGGACCATAAACTACAAACCATGGGGAAGAAGACCAATCCAAAGTGGGAAGGTAGATAAGGCAATTCAGGAGGGAGGAGTGGGGTGGGTACCCTTTCCTCGGGGCGAGGTGTGGGGGGGGAGGTTTCAGGTCATGCACCTTTATCCTGACTGTGGGAAATTCACAGACCACAATGCTGGTAACATGAAGAATTATGAGGGCTTTGAACAGGGGGGCACAGGATTACACTGCAGCAACCTTGGGTTGTCCTGTGGAGAGATGCAGGGAGACCTAGGGACTGGCTTCTCCACACCTAGAACATAGAACATCTATGAGTCATGAGTCGTTAGCAGCCCTGAATGCCCTGGGAAAGCCACGGATCAAAGCTTGGGAAGGGGCTGCATGGCTATAATGGCTTAGCTCCTGGAGCTGTTAGTTCATCCTCTGAAGCTCAGGTTGTGGTTCTTACACACACACACACACACACACACACACACACACACGCAAAGGGAGAAAGAGACTGAGGGAGAGAGAGACAGAATTGTTCTTTACTCATAGACACTTATTACCTAGGGGCTGGAAGGAAGATATAACTTCAGTCAGGCCATTAGTAGGTTTTCATAACTTGGCTTATCTGGGAACTCTGACAAAAAAAAAAAAAAAGCTGGGAAGAGTGGTAGTGGTGAAGCTAGATGTCTTTCATGTTAAAATGGAGAAAAGAGAGAGAGAGAGAAGCCTGGCACCAGTGGCTCATGCCTGTAATCCAAGCTACATGAGCAAAAAAAAGATACTGGATATGGGGTTTAAAAATGTCTGTTGTGTGCCTGAGTTCCCAGATACATGGTCTTGCCAACCCAGTGGCATGGGGATGGAGAAGGGCCTGGTCAGGACCCCCAGACCTTGTCCAGAAGACTTGCACTGTGGCCTCTGGTGCACAGAACCCTAATCCCAAGACTCAAGTCCCTTGTTTAGGCCCCATTGGGAAACTTCCAGCCTTTGAAGCCCACTGGCTCTGGCCTTGACTTTTTTTTTTTTTTTTTTATGGTGGTACTGGAGTTTGAAGTCAGAGCCTCATGCTTGCTAGGCAGGTGCTCTACTACTTGAGCCACTGTGCCAGCCCTTTTTTGTTTTGGGTTTTTTCGAGATAGGGTCTCACGAACTATTTGCCGGGGCTGGCTTCGAACCTTGATCCTCCTGATCTCTGCCTCCTGTGAGGGAAGCAATCTTTTCTATCAAAGCAGGTCGTCATCTTAACTACTTGCAGTTTTGGGTTCTTCTCCTGGATTCTTGTTAAGCTTGCCAAACTTGCCCACCAAACTGCAAATGTTAGTCCCTTCCCTGGGCTAGTGTCAAATTCTACCCAGTTGGAGCACAGGGGCAGAACCATTCTGCATTAGGAATAAAAAGAGGACAGACTACCTGCTCCTTGTGCTTGTTGTGCCTGTGCGCCTACACATCCTTTTGCAGAAGTATATTTTGCCTTGCTCAGATAATTCTTTGTTTCTGTGTCTTCAGTTGTGACCCTGGTGGTCTTTGAGAGGTCTTATTTCTAACACTCCTGAGTAGCTATGATTATCGGCATGAGCCACCAGCATCTGGCTTGGCTTTGACTCTTGCCTAATCTGCGAAATGGGGATGATTTTTACCTGGTGGGATTGTGATGAAGATTCCACAAAAGGATGATACAGTAGTGTCTCTGGCACAGTGCTTGTCCCTTTGTCAATGCTCTGTGATCAGCAGCTGGTATTATAACTTATCCTGCATCTGTCTTCTCACCTGGAGCCTGGGACAGTTTGGATTGAAGGACACAGTATCATCTGTATGGAACTGTGGGGTCAGAGCAGATGGCACTGCTGCCACTCAAAGGCCAGCCCAGCCCTGCAGGGGTAAGGAAGACACACCCAATTCCCAGGACCAGGGAAAGCTGGGTGACAGCCTCAATCCATCAATGATAGACAGCCTCCATCAAACCTAAATTTATGGACCCAGCAGATACTTAAGTTTGTGGGGAGTGAAGGCTGGTCCAGCTCTTCCAGGCTGCTGCTGCTCAGAGTAAGTAGGGTGGGGGCAGAGGGTGAAAAAGGGACCTGGTTTTGAGAGACCAGATAATCAGATTCCAGAGCAAAGTCCCAAGGAAAAGTGGTGGCTTTGGGCTGGAATTGGGGCCCCTTCCTTCCTTCCTTTCTTCCTTCCTTCCTTTCTTCCTTCCTTCTTTCTCCTTCCTTCCTTCTTTCCTTCCTTCCCTCCCTCCCTCCCTTTTTTTGACAAAGTCTCACTATGTAACCCAGGTTGGCCTCCAACTTGAGATTCTCCTACCTCAGCCTTCCAAGTGTTGAGATTATAGGCGTGCACAACAAGCTACTGAGGGGCTCTTGTCCTCAGCAACTGGGATCTGGTTACCCCAACTCTGCAGGTGGAAGAGAGCTTGGGAAGCCTCATATGTGAGAGGTCAGGAACTCAGGGCCACTGAGGATGGAGTTGGCTCCATCCTTCACCCTTGTTCTTCAGCAGATTTGTCTGACCTGAAGCTTCCTAGTTCCTTGTCTGTGGACACAGGGTGAGGGCTAGGGTGTGGGTGACCAGAGGAGAAGGGAAGTTGCCTAGGGAGCTAAGCTTAGTGATGGGAAGGTAAGTTAAGGAGAAGACAGATCTGTGATTTCCTGTCGCAGGCTCCAGCACCATGACAGTTTCATACACCCTCAAAGTGGCAGAGGCACGCTTTGGAGGCTTCTCCAGCCTGCTCCTTCGCTGGAGGGGCAGCATCTACAAGCTTCTCTACAAAGAGTTCCTGGTCTTTGTGGCCCTGTATGCCATGCTCAGCATCACATACCGGTGAGGGTGGCTCTTAGCGCTGGCCTGTGGGGGCCTAAGTAACCTACTTCCCCCAACACAGGCCTACACCTGATCTCCCCTAGGTTACTGCTGACCCAGGAGCAGAGGCACGTGTATGCCCAGGTGGCTCGATACTGCAACCGTTCTGCCGACCTCATCCCCTTGTCCTTTGTACTGGGTGAGCCCCTGTTCAGGATACCAAGTTCTCTCTGGTATTCTGACCATCTTCCCTGATCTGAGGCTTGAGTTAACAGTGCTGGACAACACAACCTGAAGTCAACCAGTGAAGGCACAGCAGGCATAGGGGCTCCATCGAGGGCTTCCCCAGGATTTGTTCCTGCCTATCACTTGCTGGACCCTCTCTCTACTCTGCACAGACACAAGACACCTGCTGGCCTCATAACCCCAGGGTGCCAGCCCTCCCTCCACCCTCATGGGAAACAGGTCCCATTACCAGGCCTTGAATGCCTACTTCTCTTACCTGGAGGTTTGCACTCTTCCTTCCTGTCCTGTCCCAGCAAGGGGTGGAGCCAAAGGAAGAGACAGGGTCCTGGAGTCGAATGTGTCCTCTCCCCACAAGGTTCAAGGCGTGCACGGGTTCTCTGATTAGGGGAAGGGAGCATGGTCCTTTGACTCCCAGCCCCTCCGTGTTCCCTTTCTGTTCCTACGGCGGCCCGCCAGGTTTCTATGTGTCTTTGGTGGTCAACCGCTGGTGGTCTCAGTATACAAGCATCCCGTTGCCAGACCAGCTGATGTGCGTCATCTCGGCCAGCGTGCACGGCGTGGACCAGCGTGGCCGCCTGCTACGCCGCACTCTCATCCGGTATGCCAACCTGGCGTCGGTGCTGGTGCTGCGCTCGGTGAGCACTCGCGTGCTCAAGCGCTTCCCCACCATGGAGCACGTGGTGGACGCAGGTGCGCGGCCCGCCGGAGACCCTGGGGACCACCGAATATAGGTGTCCCGTTGAGGGAGTTTTGGGACAGGAGCCTCCCGGGATCTAGAGGTCTAACCCCACCATGGAGGCTCCAGGGCGGCGAGTCTGGGACGGCGGGTGGATGCAAGGCAAGGTAGCTATAGGCTGCTCCCCCTGGCGGCAGAAGCCTCTGTACCCCATCACTTCATCCTGCCAGGTTTCATGTCACAGGAGGAGAGGAAAAAGTTTGAGAGCTTGAAATCTGACTTCAACAAATACTGGGTCCCCTGCGTCTGGTTCACTAATCTGGCGGCCCAGGCCCGCAGGGATGGGCGAATCCGTGACGACATTGCTCTCTGTCTCCTTCTGGAAGTAAGTCACCCTGGGATCAGGCCTCTTGGAACCTCCTCCCTCTAGCTATGCAAACGAATAGTAATTTCAGTACTTAACATTTATATGGCGCAAACTATGTAACCCACCTGTATCTTGGAAGCCCGCACCTATATTAACTCATTTAGCCCCCAAACAACCCTTGAGAAAGGTACTATTATCACACACACACCATTCACAGATGAGGAAACTGAGGCACAGAGTGGAAAAGCCTATCACAGGCACCCCAACCTTACAAAACACTTGAGAGCAGACCGAGCTCAGACCAAGCTTCAGGGCTGCTTTATGCTGGGCTCCCCTCCACTGACCTCCTCTTCCTGCTGTTCCACCAGGAGCTGAACAAGTACCGTGCCAAGTGCAGTATGCTGTTCCACTATGACTGGATTAGCATCCCCCTCGTCTACACCCAAGTAACTGCTTCTCACCTCCCCAGCCCCAGTGCCTACTGATGTCCCCTGCTGTGTGAGATATGGAGAATTAGAGATGTCCTTGCCCCAGCCAGTTCAGTCCTGTGAGGCACTGAACAGCCAAGGGCTCATCCTCAAAATGTCCCCCCACCCCTCCAAGATGACCCTATTCCCACTGGTGCCTCCACCCTACTACATGTTTTAATTACTTGTCAGGCTCCCCCAGATCTTCAGAAGCAGGGAGGACATCTCTTTCTGTCCCGCTGCACCGTACTGTGGGCCTGGCTTTGCCTCCTCCAGGTGGTGACCATAGCTGTATACTCCTTCTTTGCCCTTTCCCTGGTTGGACGCCAGTTTGTTGAGTCTGACGCAGGGGCTGTCAAACCTCAAGAACTTGAGCCAGCCCTGGGGGACCTGGACATGTACGTTCCTCTCACCACATTGCTGCAATTCTTCTTCTACGCTGGCTGGCTCAAGGTGGGCACTTAGGATGGTTATGACAGCATGTTCTGTAGAGATGTGGGCACAGATAGCATAATCACAACCCAATGCTGGGGACAGAGAGTCGGGGCTCTGGGCTCAGAAGACACTGTCTCTGCAACTTACAGGTGGCTGAACAGATCATCAACCCCTTCGGTGAAGATGATGATGACTTTGAGACTAATCAGCTCATAGACAGGAACTTGCAGGTGTGGGGGAGAGGGCCTAAGGCCAGCTACTTTGGCTCCCTTTCCTGGATAGCTCTCAGCCCAAGTGTGGAGAGGAAAATCCTGGTAACCTGATGCCTGCCTTTCTGCTGGCCCAGGTGTCCCTGCTATCCGTGGATGACATGTACCAGAATCTGCCCCCCGCTGAGAAGGACCCATACTGGGATGAGGACCAGCCGCAGCCGCCCTACACTGTGGCCACAGCGGCTGATTCACTGCGGCCTTCCTTTCTGGGCTCCACCTTCAACCTGCGGTAAGTGGCCATCGCTAGCAAAGGCTAGACTTGAGCCAGTCCCCCGTGTCCGCTTGGATTCAAGTTTCGCCCTGGCCGCCCTACCGCCCTCAGCATGAGCGACGACCTCGAGCAGAGCGTGCAGGTGGAGGCGTCCCCGAGGTTGGCTCCGCCCGTGGCCGCCGCGCAGACCCCGCTACTTGGTCGCTTCCTGGGCGCAGGTGCGCCCTCACCCGCCATCAGTCTCCGGAACTTCGGCCGCGCGCGCGGTGCTCCCCGGACCCCACATCTGCTGCGTTTCCGGGCCGAGGACGGCGGCGACCCCGAGGCTGCGGGCCGCATTGAAGAGGAGGAGGTGGTAGCCTCCGAAGACGAGGTCCTGGAGTCCTGAGGCTCTGGTCTGTCTGCCCAAGTAGGATAGACGGCCGGCATGGAGGACAAGTAGCTTCCTCGTTGCTAGGGGGCGGGGGAGAGGGCCTAGGCCAGTGGTCCATAACTTCAGCATCACCGAAGGTCTGGGCACCCCTCCCCCTCCTTGCCTTTCTGATGCCTTGGATTTGGGATGGGGCTCAAGACGCGGTATCTCCGAGTTCTTAGACGATGCTGTGCTGCTGGGCTGGGGTGGAAGCTTGAGTCATACGTGAAAACGTGTTTGGAAAGGTTTATTTCCTTCATCACTTTATAAGGTGTACTGGCACAAAGGAACTTTTTTTGAGCGCTACTGGGTGGTTGAACTCAGGTTCTGGCGCTCTTTAGGCAGCTGTTCTACCACTTGAGTTATTTATCAGCTACTGAAACCTTTGTTAACGCTTGTGTCTGCTTACAATGAGAATATATTCATTTATTACTTGTGGAATTACAACTTGAAGATCGAATTTACGATTTGTACAATAGGATGTAGATGAAATAGTTTGGGAATCTACTGAGCTCCTCTCCTCTAAGATTCCTTCTAAGTTCCAGCGTCCACCTAAAGAAACTGAATGGCAAAACTAAGGCCAACTAATGTCAGAACAGAGGGAGGAAATAGGGTGAAGACTGCAGCCCCTGGAGCACCGTTCATCAAAGATTCTTGTACGTTACACAAGTGCTCTAGTGATGCCAAGATGAGCTTCAAATTCATAAATCTCCTACCTCTTCTTCCTGAATAGCTGGTATTACAGGTATGCACTTGGTGCCAAGTTTCACTCTACCTAAGATTCTAATGCTAGCTTTGCCTCTTTCCTTGTGACGCTGAACATTTCTAAGCTCCAATTTCCAAATAGATACTGCAGAGACAGCACTCCAGCGGTTGGGATATTTTGCTAATTTTTTTATTTTCACAGTATTGGATTAACTCAGGGCTTCCAAACATTTTTGTTTTTGGAAGAGTCTTGTTTTTTTTTTTTGCTGGGGATGGATATATTTACATCTTTTCCCCATAGGTGGGATGATAAGCACATGCCAGTGGCCTGGAAACATGATCTTGAGTATCAGCCTATAGCTGTTTTTTTTTTTTGTGCTCAGTGGTAAGGAGCTCATGCTCAAGGTTCTGGTGTGAACCCTATAGTCCTCCGCTCTACCAGCTGAGCTATGGAAGGAAGTGTTGGTGTGAACCCTAGAATAAAAAAAAAAAAACCTAAATAAAAAAAGAACCCTCTGCTCCTATTGGTAAAAGTCTGTAATGTAGCCAAGCTGAAGAACCAACTAGATTTTTAAATTCTTTGGCTCTTGAAATACCTTACTTGTGCCAGGTGCCAGTGTCTCACACCTATAATTCTAGCTTCCCAGGAGGAGAGATCAAGAGGATGGCCATTTGAAGCCAGCCCTGGACAAATAGTTCATGAGACCCTATCTCTGGGGAAGAAAAAAAAATAAATCACAAAACAGGGCTGGCGGAGTGCTAGCTGTATGAGCATGTGGTTATCAAGTGTGAGGGTGTAAGTTCAACTCAATGGGAGACAAAAAAAAAAAAAAAAA